AGGATTTTAGGGGTTTTAGGGATTTAGGGGCTTTTGGAGTGGGGGGTTTTGGTCACTTCACCGGTCGAAAACAAGCTTGGAGGCGGCCGCCTTCCCTTTTCCGAGCCACCAAGTTCCTTGGTGCTCTTCGATGGCCTCCTGCTGCTGCGGGTAGAGCGCTTGAACCGCACGCTGCTGTCAGCTGGTGACTGACTTGCACTGAAGAAATCCTAAACCCTAAGCCCTAAAGTAAGATATCGGAAGGTTGAAGCTTCGTGGCTTGACACCGTCTGCCGTGCGAGGTGGTGGCCGGCACTTCGAGGTCCCCAACCACGCGACGCTGACAGTGGAGTTTGCTGCATCCACTCTAGGGCCCCTCGTCAAGTTTTGTTAGGATCCGCTGTGATGTGCATCTTTTGGTGCAATCTGCTCTAGGCCTGTACATGTGGCCAAGGTCGTGGAAGCAGGCAGGTTATGCCCTGCACGACGCAGAGGCCTTCTTTGCAGGGCACGAGGTTTGTGAGCACGAGCTCACCATCCAACGAGTGATGCTTGGCATGCTGCTTCTTCTTGTTTCCCAAGAGGTCCATGATCATGTCAATCGGCGGTTCTGTCGTTGAAATTCGGTCTTTCACAACACCCGGCAAGCTTCTGTTGAAAGAGACGCTGGAAATACATGTCATGTGCGTGCCACTAATATGCTGTGGACTCAAATCAGCTCTTCGTGAGTCAAACTGCGCCCGGCCCCAGCCTTCCAAATGAATGTTGGATTGTGTTTGTGATCCGTATTTCCTGAATGCGTAAAGCGGTAGAAGAACAGGGGAGAGTAGCTGCCGTCTGTGTTTCGTCCTCCCCAGGAATGGTCAACCATGGTCTTCATGGGCAGGCGAGCTGCAGACGAGCGATTTCATCAAGCTCCAGGAGCCTGAATGCTGTTCAGCTCCAAGGCGAAGCTAACCGTACTGTAAGCGGTGTGGTTCAGGACCGGAGACAGGTGCGGCGGTTCTGCGACTGGATGAGCGCTGGTTGGACAGTCAAGACGGACGCCAACGGCGACACTAGATTCTGCCACTGGGGTGCGCGGAAGATCGCGAAAGTTGTTATCTGCGAGGAGGACGCACCAGAAGCCGCCGAGATCGGAGACTTCCTGCTGAGTTTTTCATAGACCGACCAAGCACAAAGCCGGCTTGACCCAGTCTAGCATCCCACCATGGACACATGTTCCCATCTCCGTGTGGGATGAACTTGTGTCGACCTGACTTGCGGACAGTGTACAGTATACAGCTGCAGTCCACGGGAGCAAAGGCGTTTGCCATGTCTGCAGACCGGACTTATTGGCTTTCGGAAGAGCCATTGCAAGGTCACATTTATTTCCCCTCGCCTACGGACTGGAGAGCGCTGTCCATTTACCAATTGGTAACCGCCCCGGCCTCGGCTTCCTCGACACCATTTCCTTTCTCTTGTAACCGGATGTTCCACGGCTGCAGGACCGCTTCGCCGATGGGGACCCTAGGCCAGAGCCTGCCAGCCCAAAGCCTCGCATCACCTTGCATTATCGGGAAGTGATGGGTTGCCTTCATGGCCAGGAAGCAGAGCCGCTGTTTCACTCTTGACTGGGGATGCGACAGGAACAATGAAGCCTTCAAAGGCGGCTTCGATGTCCGAGATATGACCTTCAGGCAAGGTGCAGGTGTGCTTCCTCCGGCAAGGAAACAGCATTGAAGCGCACTTTGCTACACAACTGGCTGGTTAATTGAGGGGGGAATGTGCATCATTGGTTGCACAGGCATGGAGGCGACTTCGTAGGACTTCGCTCGAAGCTGGACTACATAAAAGGCCTTGGCTGCCAGGCACAGAGGGGTGGTTCCAAGAGACAAGACATGGCTTTGATCTTCGGCAGAGCGTTTTTCGTGGGTGGGTTTGCTGTCCAATAAAGTCCTAGGCATCAGCTGGAGATTCAGAGAGGTCGGCTGCACATGCTGGCATGTTCGACAGATCTGGTTTGTCACATCGAAAGCCATGCACGGGTGACTGGGCACCGCAACTAGATGCGCGGCCCTGGATCGTGTAAGCAACCAATTTGTATGGTCTTACCTGCGAGACAATGTCCCCCATTGGTGCAGCGAGCTACACACTGGCTATCATTTCGAGCAAGTGCGTGGGATAAGACAGCATCTAGCCCTGAGTCTGAAGACCGGGGCGAAACTGTGACAAAGAGGTCAATGCTGGTTGCAAGTTCCGCACTGGAGTTTCCGATCATGTCGCAAGCTAGTTACAAAGCACAAGTGAGCTTTGGCTAAAGGATCAGAATCCCCAGCAACACCCAACTGGATTTCATCTGTTCGCGGAGGCCATCTGGATATCTCCTGTTTTCCAAAATGGGAGCCTTCCTCAGCACAAGCTTCGCGAGCTGCTGTGCGAGTCTGTGGGCGAGTTACGCTTCATGATGATGTCTACTGCAAGGTACAACTACTACCACCAGTATGCTCAGCAGGACTTCACCCTGCTAGATCAACGTCTCGGCACCCTCGAGGAGTTGAGGGCCGAAAGCCCAGCAGCAAATGTGGATCACGATCGAATAGAGCGCTTAAAGGGTGGGAGCCAGGGTCACCACTTCACGCGCAGAAAAGCACAAGTGCGGAACGTAGCAGGACTTCTGAGGGACTGAGTGAGATCAACGCTGAATGAAGCAGCAACAACAATCCTGATGGGCATGGTCTTTTGACAAATAGTCACCATTGAACGCTTTTGACATGCAGCGACACGAAGAGGCATTTCCTACAACCACTCTTGCAACAGCTAGAAAAATGTAAGCTCAGAACACCATGGATGGGACATTTGCGTGTGCCAGTCGTAATTACATTAGCCATAGCAGCAGGATAAACAGGCGAATTGAGAGTGATGGTCGTCGCAGGTGGTGGTGGCGGTGGTTGTTGTTGTGGTGGCGGTTGTGTTGTGTCAGCAGTAGTAACTACTAGTAGTACATCGTCGTCGTCGTTGTCGTCGTCGTAGCAGCAGGAGGAGTAGTAGTAGTAGTAGTAGTAGTAGTAGCAGCAGTAGTAGTAGTAGTGGTGGTGGTAGCATGAGAGCTGATAGTGAAGCGGCAGCGAGCAGAGGCCTTGACGCAAGCGGCCCACGATCGGGGCATGTACGTGCTGATTGCGCACGGCTCAGTCAGTGCAGCGATCTCCTGGTAGGGCAACCTTGGGAAAAAAACAATTTGGACAGGGAAAAGAGAGAGAATGACGACAGCAAAAGTGGCTACACGGTCGATGCTTGCAGCTTCGGCTCGCTACTCGTAGCGAGCCAGAAAACCAGGAAGAGAGACGCCCGATGCCCTTCTGTTCTTGGCTTCGCTTGAGAGCAGCAACTTGTGATGTATCATCTTGCAGTTCAGGACGTAGTCATGAACCACATGGGCAATGAGTTCTTCTTCGAGGGTCATCAGACCGACACGGACCGGGCCACAGTCTCTGGCTGGTCGTTGGAGGTGTCACATCAGATCGGATGGACAGCGCGGTCCTCTGTTGGATGTTGATGGCCAGCGTGCTGGCCAAGTCCAGCTGAGAGTCTGTAGTCTCAGCGACTTCCAGTGTTTGTCTGCGGAAGCGTGAATGAGACCTATATGAGGCTCCCTTCCGATTCCACGAGAACCATGGTCTCCGGGAGTACAGGTTGGGCAGCTGTGCTGTCCTGCTTGTACGGCGGGTTTCTACGCTTCAGACAGTATGTCTGTGAACATGCACTCGATCCTTGTGGGTCCAAGCTCAGAGTTGTGGAGGCTAATTACGCGCCGTGCTGCGAGCGAGCTCTACGACACTCCGGTGCGCACGGGCCAGGGTTTCTACCACGGCGTGGAGAGGTTCAGAGAGAAACTGCAAGAGCCGTCAAGAACACATGCGAGCTGGAACTACACGTCTGTTTTCTGGACAGGCTGGAAAACAGCCCTACATGGACTTCTACTTTAACAACACTTGGGTTGAAGAGGCTCGTGTTGCAGCTTGCGTTTTGCCCGGCATTTCGTCCAGCGGCAGTGCAATGGGGCTGAGGGCCAAAGGCAATTTCAGGGCTTGGGTGTGCTTGGTCCAGGCGAAGTATGCCAGCCCGTTCTACGGACAATACGGCGAAGTGGCAGCCTCAAATGTTTTAGCACGAGCTCGAGTTCGGGAGTCTCCTTCTTGATATCAGGCTCTGCCCACTGACGTTAGACATGTTGGATAGGAGGCTTCATGGCACTGTGGTGGGGTTTCGGGGCAGGTTAGAGAGAGAGAGAGAGATATGTACAGATGCTCACATAGACGGGCATACCGATGGACAGGCACACATACAAATGTACATATGTACACAAATACCCAGCTCTCAACAGAGCAGCCCGAGGCCGCGTGGGATCAGGGCCAAGGGACTTATGACGGTCCGTCACCTGGGGCGACTCAGTGCGACATTCTGAAGTCCCAGAATTCTGGATGGAAGTTGTCTGAGCATGAATGGTATCTCCAAAAAGCTACATTGCAAAGCAATGGCCCCGCCATGTCAATATCCAGCAGGATCAGACTTCCACCACAACGGTGACCTGCAGAACTATGCAGACCCCTGGGAAATTAATGCCGGGATCCTATGGTTCGGAGCTGGTTGTTGGCACGATGATTGCTGATGTTGTGTCACCTGATGTCCCCCCCACTTTTGCAGGCAGCGGATGCTGCAGAGTGAATATATCCGTTAGGCACCTCGACTGCCACTCAGGTTGCCAAGATCTATGGTACCATGGACGACTTGAGGCTGGAGCACAGCCGCGTTCAGGACGTTTCTGGGTGCCAGGGTACCACCTCTGAACGATGGTCTTCAAAACCAGCAATCCTGGGAGGACAAGTACATTGCCATGACGCAAGCCCTCATTCAAAGTGCCGACGTGGATGGCTTCCGAGTAGATACTCCGATGCAGGCTCCGTTTTACCATGGACTTGAGAAGCGCTCTCTCTTTCTCTCTCTGTCTCTCTCCTGTCTGGTTCGAGGTTTGCTTCGGTTTCTTTTTTTTTGGTTTTATTAGGGGTCTACAGCGTTTAGTTGCCCTCATCTGCGCTGAAGCCTTGATCTCGCAGGTTCCCTTGCCTTTCTATAAGCGCTGGGCCCGAAGCTGAGTCTCGGATGCTGACTGTGCGGTGATCCTAAGAGGCTGACAGTGTTACGCCCCTTGCGCCAGGCACCAGCGATCCGAAGCTTCGCGAAATCGCTGGGGAAGGACATCACGGTTCCTAAAGCCTAAAGTGTCCCTAAACCCGAATCCACAACCCTGGACCTGTAGTACTGCAATATAATTTGTAAACCTCCAACAGACAGGGCCTTGCAGGATCGCTTCGGGCTCTTTGGGGAGTTCTATGTCACCACGGAGAGGTATGCCACCATGACAGGCGCGATGCAACGCAACAGGAAGGTAGCTAGCCGTCCCACCAGTTAAGCTGTTGCCCTGATGGCAACTTATCGCCGGGTGACTTGTTCAGCCTCGTAAGCTCGTCTCCAACAGTCTTGTTTCAGGGCTGGCTTTTGCTGAGCAAAATTGCTGACAATATCTGAACCTGCAGCCCATGTGCTGTGTATACAGCTCCTTCGCATGATTAGCAGTGTCTTTCTACTGGGCAGTAGGTACAAATATGATATATCATTGTATCATCCTTGGTCCATACCTTGTTGAGGCCGCGGGAAGGACAACGGTATGTACGGCCAAGACCGCTTCATAGCTGGCGAAGCCACACTGAAAGGCGGTATCGTGCCTCTCGGCTTTCTCACAGCATTTAAAGTCACCATTACTGGTTTGTCCTGTCCACCCTCAGTTCGGACAGTGTCAGATTTCAGGGCCCCCACACCAAGAAAAATGCCCCTGGTTTGACCCGGCTGAAGTCAAGGCAGTCCCGGGACCAGGGCAAAACAGCTGTCCAAGGTGCAAGAAACCCTGATCCTAGTTCCTGAACTCTAGACGCTAGATTTCGGCTTTCACCGGGCTGTTGCAGTAAGCGACATTCGAAAATGTCGCATGGAAGACAATCTTCTCAATGGGTTTCAGAAGCTCATCATGAAAGCACGTCTTGCCTAAGCAAAGCGGCACTTCCCAGCGGAGTGTCCCAGAACTCTGAAGCCCCCAAAAGCCCAAGGTATCCGTACTATTGGTACACCTTCACAGCTTTGGCCTCGCCCTCGGAGCAGAGAGAAGGGTCTCTTCACACCGATCCCTCAAGGACCCTTGACCTATGTTGCCAGGTGTACCGAAGGCCGCAGTACGCAGATGGTTTTGCATTGGCTTACGAGCAGGAGCGGGTGCCACTCGCAGCTCGCAAGCCAAAGCTTTGCCAACAGCCATCTGAGCAGGAGAACCGGATGATCGATACATTCGATCCAAGCACCAATCGCTCGGAGTACGTGTAGCCCTCAGCGAAACTTTGCTGGTGCCTGCAGTCCGAACTTGAAGCATGTTACAGCAAGTGGAAAAAAGGGCACACTTTCCGACCCTGTCGGGTGCAGACTCCGACAAGCTCCAACAAGGCGCAATGGATTTTCTGCAACAATCACGACAATTGGCGTCTCCAGACTCTGACTGGGAAGAACCAGCTGCTCATGTGCCCGGCTCCCAAGCAAAATCAAAGACAAGGGCGATTGAATTGTTCCTGCTTGCCTTCTCACTGGCTATTGGAATTCGTTAGTGTTGTTGGGCAGTCTTGTTGTTCGTGTGCTCATCGTCATTGCAGTCAGTCTAGATCAAAACATTGCTGATGTGATTGTTGTTGTTGTTGATGATGATGGTGATGATGATGATGAGGGTGATGACGATGAGGATGATGCTGCTGCTGATGCTGATTATGATGGTGGTGTATGTCCTTACATACTCATGCATGCATGTAGGTACGTGCGTGCGAATGTTTGTAGGCATGTAGGCATGTAGGTATGTAGGTACGTAGGCATGCATGCATGGATGTAGGAATGCATGGATGGATGGAAGGAGGGAGGTAGGGCATGGATACAGGTACGAATGCACTTATGCGACTTGTGATATGACGGCACCATTATGATGAGACATGTAGGTGTCATTTGTGTTGCATCCTCTGCAGTCTAACAGATTACTGTATAGCTGTTGTTGGGAGCTTGTGCATGAATGGTTGTCTGCACGGGCGGGGGGGGGGGGGGGGCTGCTTGTCGACTGATTCACTCGAGTACTTGGCTTTCATTGAGGCATAAGCCCCAAACCCAACTGCCAACACCAGGGGCCTGGAACCCGACAGCCGTCGTGCTGACATCCCGATCTAGCTAGGCTCCTAGGCAAGAGGTTGCCACGGGTCTGTTGTGAGATTTACAACATGAGCAACAGGAGAAATGGTAAAGCACAATAAGAACATCAACCTAGTCATAGTCCTGTTGACACTTGTACAGATGCCGAGCAGTACTTGGCAGACGAGTGCCGTTTCGAGTGCCGTATGGAAACGCCGGTGCAGAAACGACAATAGAAGCAAGCTACACTCCACAAGAGTTCCAGGAATCTCACCAGCATTTGCAGTGCTAGCTGTTTGGACTGCACGGACTGCAGGTCTGGCTATCATCACGTTCTGGCCAGGGCTGTTCGGTGCTCAGCCGTCCAAAGGGTCCAGCTTCAGGCTTAGTCTGTCGTTTCGGGGGGTTTTGACTGATCGCAGCAGGGTTCTTCTCAAAGGGTGCGGGCTGCCGAACTCCTTCATACAGGGTCCTTAGGGGTACCTTGTAGTTATAACTGCAATGGCCAGGCCGCTTCACTATGCGGGAGACGAGCAGGA